CGCGGCACTATATACTACGCTAAAACATTGTTATGGGAGGTTACAAAAAAAAAAAAAGGCGGGCTTGATGCGGGTTTCGGGCCTGAAAATTCAGAAACCATATCGGGCCGGGCCGGGCTGGGGCGCCACCCCCTCGGCCAGGGCCGGGCTCGGGCCCAGATAATAGGCCCGTGCAGGGCTCTAGACTGTAGTATAGACTAGTGGATAGTATAGACTGTAGTATAGACTGTAGTGGATAGTATAGACTGTAGTATAGACTAGTGCAGTGTCTCCCAAAGTGGGGTCCGCGGCCCCCTGGTGGGCCGCGAGGGTACTGCAGGGGGGCCGCGGGAGGTCATAAAAAAAAATATATATATATATATAATTATTTAATGTTAAATTTATAATGTTTTGTTTGTAATATTAAAATATTTGTGTTCATTATTTGACTTGAATAATCCACTGTAATTATTTTTGTATAACAATGTTTGTAGCAGAGGCTATTTCCCCAAAATAAAATAACCAGAAGAGCCTATTCTTAATGTTGTCTTCTTGGTTATTATTTTGGGGGGCCACGCAGACCCGTCAGATTTTTAAGGGGGCCTCGGTGTTACTGAGTTTGGGAATGGCTGGACTAGTGGATAGTATAGACTGTAGTATAGACTGTAGTGGATAGTATAGACCAGGGATCTCCAACCTTTTTCAATCGGAGAGTTACTTTTATACAAACAAACAGGCAGAGAGCTACTCCTTTTTGCAGTTGTAATAAAAGTCGATCTAATAATTACGACCAAACTCAGAGAACACATATAAAATACACCATAATACTGTATAACCCTATATTTATACTTATAATAGATATGTAATGGGTCAAAAAGTATTCTTTGAGGTGTATTTGTTAAATTCTAATTCCTTTGGCGAGCTACCTGTAAGGGGCTGGCGAGCTACTGGTGGCTCCCGAGATACAGGTTGGAGACCCCTGGTATAGACTGTAGTATAGACTGTAGTGGATAGTATAGACTAGTATAGACTGTAGTGGATAGTATAGACTAGTATAGACTGTAGTGGATAGTATAGACTAGTATAGACTGTAGTGGATAGTATAGACTAGTATAGACTGTAGTGGATAGTATAGACTAGTATAGACTGTAGTGGATAGTATAGACTAGTATAGACTGTAGTGGATAGTATAGACTAGTATAGACTGTAGTGGATAGTATAGACTAGTATAGACTGTAGTGGATAGTATAGACTAGTATAGACTGTAGTGGATAGTATAGACTAGTATAGACTGTAGTGGATAGTATAGACTAGTATAGACTGTAGTGGATAGTATAGACTAGTATAGACTGTAGTGGATAGTATAGACTAGTATAGACTGTAGTGGATAGGTGATAATTATCTAGAATAAATGATGGATCCACATTCCTGCAGTGTTGGGCAGTGAGGAGACAGTGTTTTATAGTGCTTCCAAGCATCTGCGAGAGGAACACTGAGATCCATGGTTTGGGATACATTTTTTAACAAGGGATTGTCTCCTCAAATTATTTTGTATAATTAAGTGTTATCTACCATTTATGTTTCATAGAGAAATGTGCTGTTTAACTATGTCCACTAGATGTCAGTGTTACAAGCTAGTATACGCTAGCTCAGATGCTCCGACACAAATGAAACTGGCAAAGAAAGCCTTGGTGTGTTATGTCCCATCATTAAATTTCAGGATTCAAACCAACGCCCAACAAATAATGGGTGGAAATAGAGCACTTTCTACCTGCGGGATGAATAAAAGAGCTCTTAATTAAAATTCCATTTAGCAAGGTGCAAGTAGAGAGCTGCGAATGAGATGTGAAAATCAAACTACTTGAAACTGTCTGAAGTACACACTAATACTGCTGATCATCTGAACCACACACTAATACTGCTGATCATCTGAAGTACACACTAATACTGCTGATCATCTGAACCACACACTAATACTGCTGATCATCTGAAACACACACTAATACTGCTGATCATCTGAAACACACACTAATACTGCTGATCATCTGAAGCACACACTAATACTGCTGATCATCTGAAACACACACTAATACTGCTGATCATCTGAAGTACACACTAATACTGCTGATCATCTGAACCACACACTAATACTGCTGATCATCTGAAACACACACTAATACTGCTGATCATCTGAAACACACACTAATACTGCTGATCATCTGAAGTACACACTAATACTGCTGATCATCTGAAGTACACACTAATACTGCTGATCATCTGAACCACACACTAATACTGCTGATCATCTGAAACACACACTAATACTGCTGATCATCTGAACCACACACTAATACTGCTGATCATCTGAAACACACACTAATACTGCTGATCATCTGAACCACACACTAATACTGCTGATCATCTGAAACACACACTAATACTGCTGATCATCTGAAGTACACACTAATACTGCTGATCATCTGAAACACACACTAATACTGCTGATCATCTGAAGTACACACTAATACTGCTGATCATCTGAAACACACACTAATACTGCTGATCATCTGAAACACACACTAATACTGCTGATCATCTGAACCACACACTAATACTGCTGATCATCTGAACCACACACTAATACTGCTGATCATCTGAAGTACACACTAATACTGCTGATCATCTGAAGTACACACTAATACTGCTGATCATCTGAAACACACACTAATACTGCTGATCATCTGAAGTACACACTAATACTGCTGATCATCTGAACCACACACTAATACTGCTGATCATCTGAAGTACACACTAATACTGCTGATCATCTGAAGTACACACTAATACTGCTGATCATCTGAAGCACACACTAATACTGCTGATCATCTGAAACACACACTAATACTGCTGATCATCTGAAACACACACTAATACTGCTGATCATCTGAATCACACAGTAATACTGCTGATCATCTGAAGTACACACTAAAACTGCTGATCATCTGAACCACACACTAATACTGCTGATCATCTGAAGTACACACTAATACTGCTGATCATCTGAAACACACACTAATACTGCTGATCATCTGAAACACACACTAATACTGCTGATCATCTGAAGTACACACTAAAACTGCTGATCATCTGAACCACACACTAATACTGCTGATCATCTGAAGTACACACTAATACTGCTGATCATCTGAAACACACACTAATACTGCTGATCATCTGAAACACACACTAATACTGCTGATCATCTGAAACACACACTAATACTGCTGATCATCTGAAGTACACACTAATACTGCTGATCATCTGAACCACACACTAATACTGCTGATCATCTGAAACACACACTAATACTGCTGATCATCTGAAGTACACACTAATACTGCTGATCATCTGAAGCACACACTAATACTGCTGATCATCTGAAACACACACTAATACTGCTGATCATCTGAAACACACACTAATACTGCTGATCATCTGAAACACACACTAATACTGCTGATCATCTGAAGTACACACTAATACTGCTGATCATCTGAACCACACACTAATACTGCTGATCATCTGAAACACACACTAATACTGCTGATCATCTGAAGTACACACTAATACTGCTGATCATCTGAAGCACACACTAATACTGCTGATCATCTGAAACACACACTAATACTGCTGATCATCTGAAACACACACTAATACTGCTGATCATCTGAATCACACAGTAATACTGCTGATCATCTGAACCACACACTAATACTGCTGATCATCTGAAGTACACACTAATACTGCTGATCATCTGAAGTACAAACTAATACTACTGAGACACGACCAGCAGATACATTTAAGAACGCAGGGAAAAGCCATGTTCATTCCTTTTAAGCTGGAATGTTTGGAGCCAGAGTGTTTCCCACCACCAGCATATTTATTTATATTTGGAATGAAAGTCTTCTTTATGGCCAAATCATGAGTCCCTCCTGTGGACTCAGCACCAGGATCAGTGTTTGCCAACCCCCGAGCCAGAAATGGATTAAAGGGCGGCAGTAGCTCAGTTGGTAGAGCGTTGGCCTTTGAGCCAGAAGGTCGTGGGTTCAAGCCCCGCTCAAGACTTTCACCATCGACTCCCACTGACTGCTGTCGTTGTGTCCTTGGGCAAGACACTTAACCTCTGGGAACACCAGCCACAGTGGGGCGGCTGCGGCTGTAAAGTGCCAAACTGCCGTTGTGTCCTTAGGCAAGACACTTCACCCCCATTGCCTAGAATGAGTCTGGTGTGTGTGAATGGTTGGTGGTGGTGGTCGGAGGCGCATACTGGTTGCCTCGCTTCTGTCAGTGTGCCCCAGGGCAGCTGTGGCTACAGTAGTAGTTTATCACCACCGTGTTTGGAGAGAATGAATAATGACACATGTGAAGCGTCTTTGAGTGTCCAAAAAAGCGCTGTATAAAACCGATGCATTATTATTATTAAAGGGTTGAAGATGGATGAAAGCACAATAATGAATGGGCTTTATACTTAATTTCACAACAATGAGTGATCCCATTTTACAACAAAAAAATAGAATTAGTAGTATATCCACTTTTAAATTCATAAACATTCACAACGGAGTAACTGAATTTGACTGTGTGTGACTGAATGTTGCAGCCCTAGCATTATGCACAAATGACTTTATATTGAATTAATATCCATTTTTTATTAAATCCAGTAATCATCATTCAGAGAATGTGATTAAAAACACAACCAGAGCATCAAAAACTGCACAGCCAGACTTTATGTAACAAGCAGGAGCTCAGAATTTGTTTATGGTCGGGTTTGAGGCTCTGTGAATTAAAATAATGCATTTCTTATAGAAATGAGGATTTTCTGATGACCATTTCGGCATTCCGTTGAGTATCCAGCAATCGAACAATTGCTAGAATGTGAAATACATGTATTCCATAAATGTGTGAATTGTTCCCTGATGTTCAACAGTGAAAAACAGCAATAAATGACTCGCTATAAACAGATTTCAGACTCGCAAGTGTGAACCGTAGCCTGAAACAAAACCATTCTTTTGTGTGGATTGGCCCAGCCTGAGGCTGACTAATGGCCATCTGTTCTGTCCAAAATCTGGGACATGCGTCAGATTTGAGACAGCTCTGACGACCTGGACAAAGATAGAAACTACAAAGATAGAGAATGGAAAAGGAGGAAACAGCAGGTGGAGTGTGGTGGAAACAAAGTCTCACCTCAAGGACAAAAACCCCGCAGTCGCTGTCATTTTTCTGCTGAGGAATCCCCTGGGAACACAAGGCCCACAGTCAAATACACACAGAGGACGAACATACTGCAACGTTATCAAAAATAGTTCCAAAAAGTGAGACTGGAATGGTCATGACTCATGTGTGACAATAGCAAATAGATTTAAGAATATAAATGAGGGTTAGTATGTAAGTTAGTCGATTTCCGTCATTTTGATTCATCATTTTTTGAAGCTTACATGAACTTAAAATAATTGTATGACTGCAGAATTAATTTGAGACTTGTTGCTATAACCCAATTTGTCTCAGATCATCTCTATGAAGCATTTAGCATAGCCATCTCCTTGACCAGAATTTGACAAAAAATGGTTTGAGAGAGGGGTGAAAGAAGCCATTTTTGAGGACCATTCAGTCTTATTTATCCAACTTGTTTCCAGTAATTGGCCCACAGTGCAGTGGCTCCCGCTTAAGGGCAGAGATAACCTGTGGTAGCCTGTGGTAACCAGGGGCAGCAGTGGGGTCTAATGCATAACCCATGGGAGTGGAAATCTGCTTTATCATTTACATACAGTTAATTTAAACAGTTCAACATTTACCTTGACAATGGTGAGCTTCCAGCCTTTCTGGAAAGCAGTCTGTTTTTTCTCTTTGGCTTCAGCCAGAAGGTACTTCATAATGTTCTGAAATTAGTTAAACAAAAGTTGGAGTCATTATTTTATAGAAAAAAATCAACGGCTTATATTTCCATCTTTCCTCAAATGCAACGAGGAAAGATGGAACATTTTACAGACAAAGATCACACAAAGCAGTTTACAGCTCTGGTGTTTTTTCTATTGAGAAATTGTCCCAATGGAAGCTAAAGTCGGACAGTGCACACGTCTGCAAGGCACTGACATAAACTTTGCCAAATAAGAGCAAATAAGAACTCTTCGGTCTGGGTTAGAGCTACTCACTTCAGTGGTATGTCTGAAGACGATGCCTTGGCTGTCATAGTAGCTGATGGTTTTGTGTGCCATGCTGACAGTGACCAGAGACCAGTGGATCTCTAAATGAATGGGAATGAGCACCAGCCACTTGGAAAACAGGTCGATCTACATAAGACACAGAAATATGCATTCAAATAAGCGTTTGCATGACACACGTCTTAAGCATAAATCACATATTCTTTGCTTTACTTTTTTTGTCCATCTTTTCACACCCTCGTAACCCTTGGCAACCAGCTGCTTGTGGAAAAAGCTGTTGAAGAAGTGAACCTATGAGGGAATGGATAAGACAACCAATTAACACCGATTGAGTTAAGAAACAGTACGTTGCACTTAGGCACGTCTCGTTACCTTCTGTTCAGTCGCCTCCATGATGAGCTCGCCGTACATGTTGATGATCTGAACAAACAAAAGACCAATAAGTATTATATCACTTTGACAAACTGAGGCACGGGTTATTTCATTGCATTTATTTTTTTCTCCATCTTCGTAGGGCGGCAGTAGCTCAGTTGGTATAGCGTTGGCCTTTGAGCCAGAAGGTCGTGGGTTCAAGCCCCGCTCAAGACATTCACCATCGACTCCCACTGTCTGCTGTCGTTGTGTCCTTGGCAAGACACTTAACCTCTGGGAACACCAGCCACAGTGGGGCGGCTGCGGCTGTAAAGTGTCAAACTGCCGTTGTGTCCTTAGGCAAGACACTTCACCCCCATTGCCTAGAATGAGTCTGGTGTGTGTGTGAATGGTTGGTGGTGGTGGGAGGGGCCGATAGCACAGACTGGTTGCCTCGCTTCTGTCAGTGTGCCCCAGGGCAGCTGTGGCTACAGTAGAAGTTTATCACCACCGTGTATGGAGTGAATGAATAATGACACATGTGAAGCGTCTTTGAGTGTCCTGAAAAGCGCTATATAAAACTGATGCATTATTATTATTATTATTATTATCTTTACAAGTTACAATCTGAATGTTCAAACTGGACATGGGCAGTTGTGGAGAGGCATGTTAAATGAATGTAGATTTGCATTTTCCATTAGATGACAGGAGTCGGGGACACCATCTCTGGTTGTAGTTAACGTTGTACCTGGTCATTGATCCAGTTCTGTTCCTCCAGTGTGCTGAGGTCCTCCAAACTGAGTGTGTGGCGGTTGTGCGCGACTGCAAAGCCGGCCACGGGAGCAGAGGCCAGCCCCGCTCTGTAACGAGTCACCTGCTTCTCTATGTCCACCGCCCTGACCACACACACACACACACACACACACACACACACACACAATTACATATACACAATACACAACACATTTTTAGATAAATTGTAATCTTTGTGATAAATTTCAACAAATAATTCCTAAGCGTTTTTCGGTCTTTAGTGTGTAGTTGTCCGTTTTGCACAACAGGTATTTTTGCACAAATATTCAGATGTAAGTAAGTAAGTCATGTTTATTTATATAGCACATGTTACAGACCAAGGTACAGACCCAAAGCACTTTCCAATGTTCAGAGTCAGATATTGTTCCAATCCTTCCACACACGGTGATGACAGAAGCGAGTCCAGAACACACTGGTCCATCAAAGCCTCTGACCCAACACCATCCATTCACTCTCTCGTTCACATTCAGACCTATTGTGCATGTTTTTAGTGGTAGGGGAAACCGGAGCACCCGGAGGAAACCTACACAGTCACGGGGAGAACATGAAAACTCCACTCAGAAAGGCCCTGTTCTGACTGGGATTCAAACCCAGGACCTTCTTGCTGAGAGTGCCATCTACTCAGCCACCGTGCCGTACTTCATATTTAATTAACTGAATTTAAATTGAACTTTGTTATATATTGATAGCAATACCTTGAAGTATCTGTATGTATTGCGGTCTATGTATTAGCAAACTCTAAAAGACACCCAGTCCTACTCAACAGTAGATTCTGTATTTACAGTGATGCACAGATTGTGAAACTTTGGGCAAATACTGATCGCAGTGTTTAACATAACAACTTCGCTGGCGGCTTCAGTTCGCATGCGTCAGGGGCAAAAGTTTTTAATCCCACATTTTTTACTGTTTTTTTATAATCTTAACTGCATGGGGTGTTTTTATATTGTGTGTGCTTTTAACTGTATTTTAAAGTTTTAAACTACTTGTGCCATGGCCCCTCCCTCCCCCATGCACAGAACGTGTGACCATCAGGGCATCTGTGGACTGAGAGCAAGTGGGGAAAAGGTGTAGGGGCGGCAGAGAAACATAATTGTCTGGACTTTTATTACATTGTTTTAGCTCAATATTCTAGCTTTGAATGCACTAAATATATAATAATGATCCACAGGAGTTTCATATCTCAGTAGATCTCAGGCAGAGGCACAGTATGTCGTCCTTAACTCATCTGATCTGATAATACGTACTTGTCTGTGAGGTCCGATTTGCCTTTCTGCTTCAAATGATCCACAACGTCGTTTTCAGCCAGAGGAATGAAACTGCCGTACTTCACATAAAAGCTCTCGAGGAATTCTGCAGAGTTTAGCACAATACATGCGGATTAAATGCTGGTTGGTGTATGTTTATCTAATGGTATAGCCTACAGTGACAAGGAAGTGAAATGTATGACTATAACAAATCTATAGCATTAGTTTTGGTCGTGTAATTTAGGTCGTAGTTAATATTTTTTGTTCAAAAAAATGTTTTTAATCATTCATAATGTCTAAATATAACCAAAACAATGACATCTCTTACTGGGTGTGTAAACAAGCACTACTGTAGCCAAGCCTTGTCTGACCATTTGCTTACCGTGGACCATTTCAAGAAGCTGCTGTCCCTCTTCCTCTTGTTCCTGCAAGTCCTCATCTCCAATCTCCTCAGTCTCCTCAGTCTTGACCCACGTGCCCAGGCGGCAGTACACGCTGTGGTCGAGTAACGCCTGGGGATGCGCCTCGCTCCTGACAGAGATGGGCTCTTTGGGCGGCACGGGGACTGGACGGGAGTTCTGCAGATCCGCTGTGATGATGACTTCCTGAGTATCGTCCAACGGTACGGCAGCAACGGCGTCTCCATTGGACAAAGAAAGAGGTACGTCGTTCGTGTTCTCAGAGTTCTGCTCCGCCGAAGTCAAGTCGACGGCAGAAATATGTACTGGCTTTGTCGCAACTGTAATTGGTCCGTTTGTGGCATGAGTTGCACCACCAGCTTTGGGACAGTTTGTAGGACTATTCGACTCTCCATTTTGTGGCAACGGTTTTGGGTCAGCTTGTTCTTCCTGCTCCAACTTCGCCTGCTTTTTAAATGAAATTTGGATATTTGAACATAGCACATTATCGTCAATTTTCCTTTTAATCTCGCCTGGAGTGGTGGCTGAGGCCATTACTGTGCGACTGTTTGGAACTACCGGCTTGTCAGCAACCTTCATTTCAATGTCATTGTACTTGACACTTTCATTTTCTGTCGGAGACTTCTCGATTTGCATGTCTTTTATATCTGATGGTGCAGCGTTGGCTGCTACTCCATGCAGATCAGGCATTTCTGTGAAGTTCTGTGATGGATCATCAACTCCCATTTCAGCACCTATAACTTTGCCAGACTGTTTGTCTGTTACGTGGGGAGACTTTGCGTGTGTCAGGAGGCCCCCCAGCTTCCTTTTCGGAGTCTCTTCCACAGCAGCAACGTTCCCACTGCCTCTGGCTCTCCCTCTTGGCCTGCCCCTTCCCCTATTTGGAGTCTGAACAGTGTGACCATGGCCTTTTGAGACATTATGCCCATGGCCTTTTGGACCGCAGCAGTCACAAGACTTAGGAGTCCTTTTTCGCCCGGATGTACGGCCATTGAACGCTGGCTGAGCGGGAGTGGCTATTAAAGTGGATGATGCAGTAAATGATGCATTGATGACGGGAGCTTCCGCATTAGAAGGGTTTAAAGTAGAAACCTTGCTTGAATCTGGTTTTATTGGTGTCTGAGGCGAGCTCTGCTCTGTGCTGACAGCAGTCGGAGCAGGAGGAACTGCAGATGAAGCTGGTAAAGGTAGCGCAGACGTTTTCATCGGGGAAGAAAAGCCGCTGTGAACCATGACTTTCTCCTTTGGCTCTTCAACCCCATCCCAAAAGCCACGCAGCTCACTCGCCTTGTCCTCCTTTTCGCTTTGCTTTCTCACAACGACCCAACATCGAGATAGTCATTTGGAACAGAGCAGGAAGAACTCAAATCTCCACAGGTCAATGGTCAATAGGCCAATGGTCTGTCAGCAACAGCGATCACAAATTGGTTCTCATGGTACATCCTGGACAAAAAAGGGGTGATTTAAAAAGAAGCCTGGAAACAAAACAATGCACAGAAACGAACTATATAATAATAGTCACCGACCTCTGTAAAAGTTGATCGATGGATGTGACAATCAAAAAAGTTTGTTTTCAGCGCTTATCCTAAAGACTCAAATAGTGACTCAAGGGACTCTCAAGTATGCACATAACATGTTTTCTAATAAGATTAAGGCTGCATGTTTTGGTCTGATTTGTATTGTTTCATACGCTTTCTTCTGGAGCAAACATGTATTATTTATGTAGAAAAAGGTTTCATATGCCAGCTTTAATCAACATGTTTAATATTAGTAATGAATGTGAGTAATTAAAATGCATTTAATCTACTAAAACACAATAAATGATTCACATTATTTGATAAGTAATTTAGCAAACAGTCTGTATTATATTTAACTAAAACATTACGCATTTAAAACACACAGCCTTCATAAAATGGTTATTTATGAATAAAATCTAAAAGTATAGTCTGCTTACTGTGTATTATTCATGAAGTGATTCCGTAGTTGATTGATTTTATTATAAAAAATGTTTGTTTACTGTGTTCATAATATTATGCTAATGCTTGTTAGCTTTAATGGCGGCACAGAGCAAGTAGTGGGTGAGAGGTGTAGGGTCGGAGTGTGTTTGGGCCTGTGTGTGTGTGTGTGTTGTCTGTCTTATACCATCGGTGGTAGTATTGTATAACTGTTGTAATGTATTGTCGTATTTTCAAGAATTCTACTGCATGATATTGTTAAACACTTTGTCTGATGGGGTTGGAACCCAATAAGCATTTGCTTCATCCAACTCCTTTTCGAACCAGGTACGGGTTATCTGTCTGCTATATTGATATATGTAAAAATGTGTATTGTGCATGGTTCGAAAAAATAAAATAAAATAAAATAAAATAAAATAAAATAAAATAAAATAAAATAAAATAAAATAAAATAAAATAAAATAAAATAAAATAAAAAAATAATCGTTCGACACATCAATCGTTCAGCACCGTTTTAACTCGCTATTCTGGATTTAAAACAAACAGTCTGTATTATATTTAACTAAAACATTATGCATTTAAAACACACAGCCTTCATAAAATGGTTATGTATGAATACAATCTAAAAGTATAGTCTGCTTACTGTGTATTATTCATGCAGTGATTCCGTAGTGGATTGATTTTATTATAAAAAATGTTTGTTTACTGTGTTCATAATATTATGCTAATGCTTGTTAGCTTTAATGGCGGCACAGAGCAAGTAGTGGGTGAGAGGTGTAGGGTCGGAGTGTGTTTGGGCCTGTGTGTGTGTGTGTGTTGTCTGTCTTATACCATCGGTGGTAGTATTGTATAACTGTTGTAATGTATTGTCGTATTTTCAAGAATTCTACTGCATGATATTGTTAAACACTTTGTCTGATGGGGTTGGAACCCAATAAGCATTTGCTTCATCCAACTCCTTTTCGAACCAGGTACGGGTTATCTGTCTGCTATATTGATATATGTAAAAATGTGTATTGTGCATGGTTCGAAAAAATAAAATAAAATAAAATAAAATAAAATAAAATAAAATAAAATAAAATAAAATAAAATAAAATAAAATAAAATAAAATAAAATAAAATTAAAAAAAAAAAAAAAAAAAAAAAAAAAAATAATCGTTCGACACATCAATCGTTCAGCACCGTTTTAACTCGCTATTCTGGATTTAAAACAAACAGTCTGTATTATATTTAACTAAAACATTATGCATTTAAAACACACAGCCTTCATAAAATGGTTATGTATGAATACAATCTAAAAGTATAGTCTGCTTACTGTGTATTATTCATGCAGTGATTCCGTAGTGGATTGATTTTATTATAAAAAATGTTTGTTTACTGTGTTCATAATATTATGCTAATGCTTGTTAGCTTTAATGGCGGCACAGAGCAAGTAGTGGGTGAGAGGTGTAGGGTCGGAGTGTGTTTGGGCCTGTGTGTGTGTGTGTGTTGTCTGTCTTATACCATCGGTGGTAGTATTGTATAACTGTTGTAATGTATTGTCGTATTTTCAAGAATTCTACTGCATGATATTGTTAAACACTTTGTCTGATGGGGTTGGAACCCAATAAGCATTTGCTTCATCCAACTCCTTTTCGAACCAGGTACGGGTTATCTGTCTGCTATATTGATATATGTAAAAATGTGTATTGTGCATGGTTCGAAAAAAATAAAATAAAATAAAATAAAATAAAAAAATAAAATAAAATAAAATAAAATAAAATAAAATAAAATAAAATAAAATAAAATAAAATAAAAAAATAATCGTTCGACACATCAATCGTTCAGCACCGTTTTAACTCGCTATTCTGGATTTAAAACAAACAGTCTGTATTATATTTAACTAAAACATTATGCATTTAAAACACACAGCCTTCATAAAATGGTTATGTATGAATACAATCTAAAAGTATAGTCTGCTTACTGTGTATTATTCATGCAGTGATTCCGTAGTGGATTGATTTTATTATAAAAAATGTTTGTTTACTGTGTTCATAATATTATGCTAATGCTTGTTAGCTTTAATGGCGGCACAGAGCAAGTAGTGGGTGAGAGGTGTAGGGTCGGAGTGTGTTTGGGCCTGTGTGTGTGTGTGTGTTGTCTGTCTTATACCATCGGTGGTAGTATTGTATAACTGTTGTAATGTATTGTCGTATTTTCAAGAATTCTACTGCATGATATTGTTAAACACTTTGTCTGATGGGGTTGGAACCCAATAAGCATTTGCTTCATCCAACTCCTTTTCGAACCAGGTACGGGTTATCTGTCTGCTATATTGATATATGTAAAAATGTGTATTGTGCATGGTTCGAAAAAAAAATAAAATAAAATAAAATAAAATAAAATAAAATAAAATAAAATAAAATAAAATAAAATAAAATAAAATAAAATAAAATAAAATTAAAAAAAAAAAAAAAAAAAAAAAAAAAAAAAATAATCGTTCGACACATCAATCGTTCAGCACCGTTTTAACTCGCTATTCTGGATTTAAAACAAACAGTCTGTATTATATTTAACTAAAACATTATGCATTTAAAACACACAGCCTTCATAAAATGGTTATGTATGAATACAATCTAAAAGTATAGTCTGCTTACTGTGTATTATTCATGCAGTGATTCCGTAGTGGATTGATTTTATTATAAAAAATGTTTGTTTACTGTGTTCATAATATTATGCTAATGCTTGTTAGCTTTAATCGTTCGACACATCAATCGTTCAGCACCGTTTTAAATCGCTATTCTGGAAACACCACCAGCAGCTCAACGATCACAGTCTATCTGCGCGCATCTGGAGCTAAGTTTGATAGCATGTGTGCAACCTCGTAATATGCAGCTTTACCGCAAAGAAATGTCCACATCATCAACCATACGGGCCACGTGAGGTTATACTTAGTGCGTGATTCACAAAGAGACACCGAAAAATGGATAACATGGAGAAAAAACCATTCGGAAAGAAGCAGCAACAACAGCCGCTCATGTTTCCACCATGTTTGTGAGGAGGTGTTTGTAATTCTATACAAAAGGTTAGCTAAAGACGAGCTAAGAGAGCCATACTAAGACCAAACACACATGAAACAGAAACACTGGCCCGTAATTTCAAGATTATCGGGTTAAACCAGTGGATAGTTTGCACTTACCGATATCGAGCGACGCAGACAGAAGAAACACAACTCAGGGCGCGCAATGATGGCGTCATCATGTCGGGTTGGCAACGCACGAGACGTAATGAGCCGGAGCCCTTTGTGCTTGATACTAAATGTAATAACAATAATAATAACCAAATAAGGTACTTCTATAGCGCTTTTTGGACACCTATATACACTTTACAAAAGAACCAAGAAGAAAGAAAAACAAAAAGCGATTATAAACAGATCCGCGTAGGCAGTTGTGAACAGGTGGATCTGAGCAGAGTTTTGAATTCCTGAAGTGAGTCCGAACTCATGATGTTGTGGGAGTGAGCTCCAGAGTGAGCTCCAGAGTGAGCTCCAGAGTCAGGCCAGTGAGCTCCAGAGTCAGGCCAGTGAGCACCAGAGTCAGGCCAGTGAGCTCCAGAGTCAGGCCAGTGAGCTCCAGAGTCAGGCCAGCTGCAGCGAAGGCACGGCCCCCCAAGGTTTTGCACTTAGGTCTGACGAGACGATGAACATGCTTACAGATAATGAGGAGTAAGTAGTAAGTAAGCTTTATTTATATACCGCCTTTCACAGACCAGAGTCACAAAGCGGTTTACAATTGTTATTTTTGGGCACTTGTCCTCTCACTCCACACAGAGATGGGAGCGGGGTCGCCAGTACAGGAGGCACATGCCAGACCTATTGTGCATGTTTTTAGTGGTAGGGGAAACCGGAGTACCCGGAGGAAACCTACGCAGACACGGGGAGAACATGCAAACTCCACTCAGAAAGGCCCTTGTCCGGCCGGGATTCGAACCAAGGACCTTCTTGCTGAGAGGCGAGAGTGCTATCCACTCAGCCACCGTGCCGAGGAGAACCTTATATTGTGTGGGACAGGGAGTCAGTGGAATTGTTTGAGGTTCTGCATATTTGCACTTTTTGGAAATGAGTGGAATGGGACCATAGGAGGCGGTTGCAGTAACTGAGTGACAAAGACGTGAATCAGGCTTTCTGCAGCAGCTTGTGAGGGAGGAGCAGACAGAGGTTATATAGTTTATGTAATTGGAAACATTTAACATGGGCTATTATTGAATAGCTTACAGGTATAGTATAATAATAGTACAATTCAAAATAACTACTTTGACTTGTTTGTATCTATACTGTATTTCCCTGAGACGTACAATACACAGCTGATGTTCACAATCAAAACATACAAAAAAGCTTAAAACACAATTTTTTAATAACTTTTGTAAAAAAGACAGGACTTTGCCTGGAGGAGGAACAGTGGGATAGTGGAACAGTGGAACAGTGGAACAGTGGGATAGTGGAACAGTGGAACAGTGGAACAGTGGAACAGTGGAACAGTGGAACAGTGGGATAGTGGAACAGTGGGATAGTGGAACAGTGGGATAGTGGAACAGTGGAACAGTGGGATAGTGGAACAGTGGGATAGTGGAACAGTGGAACAGTGGAACAGTGGGATAGTGGAACAGTGGAACAGTGGAACAGTGGAACAGTGGGATAGTGGAACAGTGGAACAGTGGAACAGTGGGATAGTGGAACAGTGGGATAGTGGAACAGTGGAACAGTGGGATAGTGGAACAGTGGGATAGTGGAACAGTGGAACAGTGGAACAGTGGAACAGTGGGATAGTGGAACAGTGGGATAGTGGAACAGTGGAACAGTGGAACAGTGGAACAGTGGAACAGTGGAACAGTGGAACAGTGGGATAGTGGAACAGTGGAACAGTGGAACAGTGGAACAGTGGAACAGTGGGATAGTGGAACAGTGGAACAGTGGAACAGTGGAACAGTGGAACAGTGGAACAGTGGAACAGTGGGATAGTGGAACAGTGGAACAGTGGAACAGTGGAACAGTGGAACAGTGGGATAGTGGAACAGTGGAACAGTGGAACAGTGGGATAGTGGAACAGTGGAACAGTGGAACAGTGGGATAGTGAGGAAGAAGAACATCCTCCTGCAGAAAATGCTGCGCCATTGTGCTAAAAAAGCTATTCTGAGTCCGAATCAAGACTGTACTCTTGTGCCTCAAAAGCTAACTTAAACATTTTGAATTTCAGTGTGTCTTTTGACCGACGTGACAAATTCTGCAGGAAAGGTAGCAGACTATAGAGGAAGTGCTCGTCCTCCGACATTTGGGCTGGGCTGGAATGAAGTGAAGTGAGGAAGTCCCTCTGATAGTCAGTGACCCCGGGATAATGCGCTTTCCTGGTCCTTTTCCTTGAAGGGCCTGTAAAACAGTATAGAAAACACATTTTAAAATGATTTCTACTATGGAAAAGTGAGAGAGGTAGCAATGACAGATGTACAGTAGGCCACTGTACAGTGAGTGATGCTTTCCCACCTGTAGGTGATGCAGCAGGGACAGTAAGCCTGGCTGACGAGGCCGCAGCAGGACCTGGGAGGTCATCTTCTGCACCTAAAGTGCCTGGCTGGGGAGATCCTGCCTCAATATCTCCTGTAATGATAATGGTTCATTCCAGTCATATTAACATGGAAGTCTGAATTTCCTCTCCTCAACAAACCTTGAAGCCGTGCTGCTGCCTCTGCTACCTCCTCATTGAACTCGGAACTCATGTCGTCGTTGTTGTTGTTGAGACTTGAGGAGCTCGAACGATCCAGGAAGGACAGGGCACCGGCATACTTCCACTTACTCACGGTCCCTGCTGCACACGGCAGGGTCTTCCTCCTCCTCTCTTTCAGAAAAGTGTCTCTGAGCGACCTCCACCTCTTCTTGCAAAAGTCCACTGCACAGAATGGACACGTGTTAGAATAAATATCTTAAACGTCAACACATTTCTGAGTTAATACTATTCTGACAACTAACCAGAGAGATGGATGCTCTCACTGATCTTGATCCAGGCCATGTTCTTCTTGAGTCGATCGCAGTAGTCTGGGTAGTCCACCTTCCACAGCTCAGGATGGTTCCGAACAGCGACGATGAGGCTGTTCACCGCGTAGTCCTCCATTCTACAAAGAACCGGTTCCTCTTCACTCCTCTCTCCAGAGTCTGCTCAGCTTCTGCTTCTGTTAAACCCGTGTTGACCCGCTGTGTTGTTGTGGCTTCTTCTTCTTCCTTTCTATTGAGTTTACGAGGGTTAGCAAACACATTAAAACAATCATTACCGCCCCCTAGTGGTCCGGAGAATAAGAGGATCTTTGAGATTCTGATTCTCCCTCATTTTTTTTTTTACATTTTTATGTTTTATAACAACAAGCACAAATATACAAACGATACATACAATTACAAAGACAAACAAAAATATATACCTTATATATATATATGACCAACGCACAATCACTGGCTTTGGCCTTTTTAAATCCAGACTTAAGACATATTTATTCAGGCTGGCTTTTAATGCACGGCGACACTTTAGTTTCTCATGGTTTTATCTGTTTTTATTGTTAGGTAGTATGAATGTTTTTAACAGATTTTATGTGATTTTGTTGTAAAGCACTTTGGTCGCCTTGTGTGTTGTAAAGGGCTCTATAAATAAAATGTGATTAATTGATTGATTGATATACAGAAACAAATGACATTCATAATGGGTATAAAGATATAAGGTTTTATACATGAATTTGAGATTTTAATGATTAATATTAGAGAGAAGGTGAATAATTATTGAGACTAAGAATATAGGGGGGCGTTAAAGGGAGTTTTTATGCTTGATGTATCAAGGTTTCAAATAATTTGTCTTTTTTTTGCTGTTAATGAGGGTTATAGATTTAAAGTAGTTGTAGTAGTAAAGTAGTAGATCTCGGAATTGACTAAAATATATCTATGCGAAAATATTCTGTATAATGGTGCTGTATAGTAGTTCAGGGTTATGCTAGTTGTAATGCAATAATAAAAAAAGATTAGACAAAACTCTTTAAATTCCCCTTTAATTAAAAATATCTGAGCAATAAATAATGTAAATCAACTTTCAGTACAGTACACATAAAAATAGCAAGTAATAAAAGAACACAGGGATATTACTGAGATCAGAGCCACAAACAAAGCACTTTCTCAAGATAAGATTGGATTAAAAAAAACAATTGAAGTAATATCTATAATACATTTATACAAAGTCAGTGCTCAAAATACTATCCTAACTACTCTTTAATCTCAATTGTTCATCTTTTGTCAGACTGGAGTTCAGGAAAAGCAGTTTGTTGCAGATGCTGAAATTCAGAAATAAATGTTAGGATGCACCAAAGGCAATGAAATTAAGCCAAATGATTTTCCTGAATTAAATTATGCGATTCAATTTGTGGGTGACGGATGCAGTAGATATGTTTTTTATGAGGAACATTGTTGTAACTAAAGATCAAAAGACCATGTTGCACTTGTTCCACGTGTCCTTGAAACTATCTCTACATGTTTTAGCTTGTTTGTATTTTTGTAGTGAGATATCAAAGAGAAGCTTGCGTGGCGGGAGTGTGGATGCTTTTGGAGACCGCTGCGCCCGTGCTGCCCCCTGCTGTCAGGACTTGGAGCTGCAGCTGGTAGTCGCTGTCAGGTTGGAGACTCGACACCGTTATAGATCTTTGAAACTGTAGACAGAAAAATAATAATGTTGGACAATAGTAAACCAGAAATCATGATTGTTTATATAGAATCCAAGCTATAAAAGAACGTTAAAAGACGTGATTGTTAGTCTGCTCTCCATGCAGTATTTGTATTTACTTCAATGGAGGTGTTTTTTTCAATGGATTATAGCAGAACAAATGAAACAGACTTGCCACCCCCATTGAAGGTAGATATAATTTGAAATAAAAACTGTGAGAAACGAGTTGTTTCTGTAATTAAACTAAAAATGCGAACCCAATAATAAGTGGTGGGGGGAAATCTGTTCAGTGTTGCAATATTATCTGTCTCACTTTTGTGTTTTCTCTGAGTTTACTTCATACATCTTAGGCTCATGTTACTCTATCATGTCCTGTTATTAGTCTTGTCTGTTGTATTAGGAGAAAAAAAATTAAACCAGATCCAAAAACTAAGCTTCAAAACATGCAGAGAGCAAACATGGAGCTTGTTGCCCAAACTTTCAGCATGTTTCCGCCTCTCACCGCTGCTATGGTCTGTGTTTGGGAGATGAGCATGTCCTCTCTGGAGCTGGATGTGACCGGGGACTGCAGGGTCCAGGTGAACTGGAAGGCCTCCACAGCAGACAGCTCCAGAGCGTGTGGGGACATCCTCCAGCGGAACGTCCCGAGCAGAGTCCCGTTGGCCTGTTGGAAGTCTGCGGTGAGGCGCTCCGGACGCAGGGACACCTTTCTACCCACCAGGGGGAGCTCTGACACAAGGATATATGCGGTTAGTCCATAGGCTGAAAACACTAAACAACAAGTAACAGCATTAATAATCAATATCCAACTTTGCATGTCTTTTAATTATATCTTTAGATCAGCTTTCTTACTAAACAAAAACACAAGGACAATGTAATGCTTTTGTTTGGTCTCCTATTTTTCTAAATATATATAAAACTTTGCATACTGTACATTGCTCATTAGAGTTCATTAGATCTCTATCAGATATTGTTCCCCAGTTTCATCATGACCTCATCCCCCCTGGACTTGTCACCCGCTGAGCACATTTGGTCTGCTCTGATCCACTGAACCTGAAGCAAATGTCCACCAGATACTGTCCGCTTTTGTGACCCCAACCCCCAATGTGAGGTGCATGGATTGTCTTGGGAAAGAATAATGGTCACTGAAGATTTGTGATTAATATCTGATTAATATCTATCAGTGTTTTATGTTTTTGGTTGAATCCATGAAAAATGGGAGTAAAAAACCATAGCACTGTTTTGACACACACGGACATTGCAAACAGTATATACAGTATTTGCTTTACCTCCACTGTTGCAGGAAAGACTCTCTCCTCCCTGGAGCCGGACGCTGGAGCAGCTCGGGGTCGTCACCCAGGCCACCGCTTCTGTTGCCGGCTCGGACGCCATGGCCACGGAAACCCGGTACTTGCAAGCAAACAGCAGCGCAGTAATGGTATGGTGAGTTCCCTGTGGAGGAAGAAACATTGACAGAGATACAAGACAACTATAGCATCGACACATCCTGTGAAAAGGTTGTGTTTGCCTTTTGTTATATCCATTTGAAGTCATTTAGGCTGAAGTCTGTGAGAAATTTGACACCAATGTCAGTGGGTGCAAAATGGGTGGTTTAAATAAGTTGCACCACCCGAAGCACCCCGGCTCCCCACGTGACGACAGAACACCTGTGCCTTGCGTACAAAAGGAGATGGGGAGGGGGCGGAGAGAAGAAGGAGGCTGGAGAGTGAGACGCAGGCCAGACACTGTGAGGGGAGAGCCCTGTGGTCTGGTGGTTTTTTATGTGTTAATAATAAATTGTTTTTAATTTGCTTTTAATCCAGTGGTCTCCTTTGAAACCCTGGTCCAAAAGACCTGTTTTTCCGCTTCCAATACTAGGGAGGGTGACAGTAGCTCAGTTGGTAGAGCATTGGCCTTTGAGCCAGAGGGTCGTGGGTTTGAGCCCGACTTTCACCATTGACTCCAATTGTCTGATGTTGTTGTGTCCTTGGGCAAGACACTTAACCTCTGGGAACAGCAGCCACAGTCGGGCGGCTGCGGCTGTAAAGTGCCAAACTGTGGGTCCTAAGGCAAGACACTTACCCCCCTTAGAATGAGTCTGGTGTGAATGGTTGGTGGTGGTGGGAGGGGCCGATGGCACAGACTGGTTGCCATTGTCCATGTGCCCCAGGGCAGCTGTGGCCACAGTAGTAGTTTATCACCACCGTGTTTGGAGAGAATGAGTAATGACATGTAAAGAGTCTTTGAGTTTCCAAAAAAGCACTATTTAAAACCAATGCATTATTATTATTAACACAGAGATTTCTTTTGTTTCTTTATTTGTTTTGTATCATTAACTGCTTAAAGTGTATTTATTGTGCATCCGACCCATTGTTGTTGAGTTGGGAAATGAAATCACCTGTTCACAAACCTTCCCTAAACAGAGGAGGCGGCTTAAGATTTGTTTTGCCTCGTATCTATGAGACGTCCTAAAAACAACCATAGATAAGGCAAAGGAAGGTTTCTCACCCATCATCTGTACTTCTTAGCAAGTTTTCCCGACGTTTCGTCCTCAAACCAGCGGACTTCTTCAGGGAAGAAGAAGAAGAAGATGAAGAAGATGAAGAAGTCCGCTAGTTTGAGGACGAAACGTCGGGAAAACTTGCTAAGAAGTACAGATGACGGGTGAGAAACCTTCCTTTGCTTTAACTAATCCCTGTACGACTGAGAGCTTACACAAACCGTAGATAAGGTCAGTGACATGCTAATGAGTTACGACTCTGGTCTGTGAAAGGCGGTATATAAATAAAGCTTCATTTCTTTGAAAAAGTTCTTTAGATGAAAAACAAAACGTCAGAAAAATCCTTTGTTTTGAATAATCCCTGTACGACTGAGCGTTTACACAAACTTATATCACCTGTTGTATGTGCACATGTGTGAGATTAGAGAAAAGAGAACATTTGAGCTCGGGCAGGGAGTAAAAAAGTTATGGACAGTGAAGAGTACTGACAACTCTCGAGTGTTTGGGAAGGAGAGAACTGTATATTGTTTTATTGTTGCAATGTGTATTTTGCTAATCATTAATTTTTGTGCATTCAAGTTTTTCACTGTGCTTTAATACTGGCTTTGTTGTAAATAAATGTTAAAGGTATACAGGAGGATTTTCTACTTCCGGGTGGATCATCAAGACTTTTGGTTCTTCCAACTGTCAATCATTCTGGTGATACTCGTCAAATAAGACCAGAGAGTTTTGTTCAAAAAGTTGAGAGGGCGGTTCTTGCCTAAAATGTTCCTATAACTAAACATCAGTCAGAGTGTCAGCTTTTTATAAAGGCAATAGCTTCTTAAGCAGTTATACAGAAGGGAGAATATGCAAACTCCACTCAGAAAGGCCCTCTACAACTTGGCAACCGAACCGAAGCGGCACGGTGGCTGAGTGGATAGCACTCTCGCTTCTCAGCAAGAAGGTCCTGGGATCGAATCCCGGCCAGGCCCGACCAGGGCCTTTCTGAGTGGAGTTTGCATGTTCTCCCCGTGTCTGCGTAGGTTTCCTCCGGGTGCTCCGGTTTCCCCTACCACTAAAAATATGTACAATAGGTATGGCATGTGCCTCCTGTACTGGCCCCACTCCCAAAAATAATTGTAAACCGCTTTGAGACTCCGATGTGCAGTGAAAACGCGGTATATAAATAAAGATTACTAAAAGATTACTAAATTACTACCCAGGACCTTCTTGCTGAGAGCCAGGGTTAGGGTTAGGACCATGCAGAGCTGTGGAGTATGTAGGACCAGACCAGAGAGAACAGCACAAAGCTAACTTATAACAGCACATTAATTCATCAATAACATCCAAAACTGATATGACTCTTCTGACCCCTGGAAAAGCCATGTTCCAGCTTCTTCCCTCTGGCAGAAGATATCGTCCGTTGAGATGCAGGACATCTCGCTTCGCTAACACCTTCTTTCCAAAAGCTGTTATCAGTTTGAACAGAGCACTTTAATGAATTTCACTTGTGTTGAAACTGTTTTAATTGATTGATTTTTGTTTGTTTGTTTTATATCTGTATTTTTAACCTTGTCTAGTGCACACTGGGGACTTTTGCAAATGTATTCCAAAGTGGTTTTACTGCAAATGGCAAATAAAATGAATCTGAATCTGACCAGATATGGATGTATTCCTAACTAGATGAGCAAGTGTCGCTCCATAAACAGGACTTACTCACATCAGAAGAACTGCTTTGCCCCTGCATTACTCCACCACTCATATTCTCAAGACTAATCCAAATAGACAAACATATTGAATGTGAGTTGATGCTAAATCAAAGTGCATGATGTGGTTCTTATTCAAACGCACACGAGCAAATGCATCACCACATCCAGAGTTGGAGCAGCGGTTGCCAGGTCTGACTGCTGCTGGCTCTTCTCACAGGTGCAGATAACGTAAGTGTGGAAACAAAGCTTCAGAGTGGATCAGCCTCAGTGGAGTGGATGACCTCAGCGCACGGTCGGACACGCTTTCTGACCAGGGAGACCTCAACACATGTAAGTAAGTCATGTTTTATTTATATAGCACATGTTACAGACCAAGGTACAGACCCAAAGGTACAGACCAAGGTACAGACCCAAAGCACTTTCCAATGTTCAGAGTCAGATATTGTTCCAATCCTTCCACACACGGTGATGACAGAAGCGAGACCAGAACACACTGGACCATCAAAGCCTCTGACCCAACACCATCCATTCACTCTCTCATTCACATTCAGACCTATTGTGCATGTTTTTAGTGGTAGGGGAAACCGGAGCACCCGGAGGAAACCTACGCAGACACAGGGAGAACATGCAAACTCCACTCAGAAAGGCCCTGTTCCGACCGGGATTCAAACCCAGGACTGAAACAACTGGAAACAGCCGTCTCCACGACTCACTTCATTGCTTCATTTTGTGGGATTTAGATTTTTCATGGTGTTTCTTTTCACAAACAGTGGCTGGAAAAATAATTCATTCCCAAGAGCTCATAGACAACCTCATGGTTTTGCCAGGGCACAGTGGAAAGAATAAAACAAGTGCTATATGATACCTTAAGGAAATAAAATATATAAACATAAATATATATAAATATCTAGATACAAGGATTTGATTTATTTCTATAAGATTGTTTTTAAAATTTAGTTTAAAAAGTCTTTCAGTGGGAAATCTAAATATAAAAATACATTATTAGTAATTTAAAAAATACACTCTGGGCTTTGTATTCCAATGTAGTTTCACTGCAAATGGCACATTAACGGACGCTGAATCTGAATCTTTTTTTTTTTTTTTTATAATAATAATAATAATAATAATAATGCATCAGTTTCATAAAGCGCTTTTTGGACACTCAAAGACCCTCCACATGTCATTATTAATTCACTTCAAACACGGTGGTGATAAACTACTACTGTAGCCACAGCTGCCCTGGGGCACACTGACAGAAGCGAGGCAACCAGTCTGTGCCATCGGCCCCTCTCACCATCACCAACCATTCACACACACACCAGACTCATTCTAATGTGGGGGAAGTGTCTTGCCTAAGGACACAACGGCAGTTTGGCACTTTACAGCCGCAGCCGCCCCACTGTGGCACCTGCTGTTCCCAGAGGTTAAGTGTCTTGCCAAGAACACAACGACAGCAGACAGTGGGAGTCGATGGTGAAAGTCTTGAGGTGGGCTTGAACCCACAACCTTCTGGCTTAAAGGCCAACGCTCTACCAACTGAAATTACACTTTTTGGACTTGACAACCCAAAACCTGAAGATGAGTGTGATAAACATTGACATATGCTAGAACACCACCCAACCCTCCACACCTCAATCATAATATTCCAACACAGAAGTTAAGACGTTGATGATCGCGCTAACAGGACACAAAGCTGTCATTGTGCCTCTGAAAATTGTTTGCTCTCTAAAAATACACCCCCTTCCTAAATGTTTTATCCAATCAGAGCTAATGACAGCAGCTAGAACGATGATCAGTCTGAACTCTTGGTCCGGCAGAGTGATTGCTCAGTTAAACAGGACGTTTACCTTGACCGTGGCGCTCCTCTCCTCACCGCTGGCGTTACGTGAGCAGGTGTGTGGGAGCCAGCGCAGGACGTACGAACCCGGGTGTCTCTGCTTGGCTGGAACACACACAAACACACACAAACACACACACACAGTAAGTATAGTCTACAGTATATAGCACATTTCACAGACCAAGCACTTTACAATTTTGATACTTAGTAAAGTACCAGTAATGTAAATATAGAGCATTTTTGTTTTTAAAACAGTGGTGGCATTTCAAAACAGTATAACAAAGAACTACTGAAGAGGTACATGAAGGAAAGAGCGAGTGGTGGGGATCACTGGAGTTGTGTGTGTGTGTGTGCGTGTGCGCGTGTCTGTGTGTGTGTGTGTGTGTGTGTGTGTGTGCGTGTGCGTGCATGTCTGTGTGTGTGCGTGTGTCTGCGTGTGTGCGTGTGTGTGTCTGTGTGTGTGTGTGTGTGTGCGTGTGTCTGTGTGTGTGTGTGTGTGTGCGTGCATGTCTGTGTGTGTGCGTGTGTCTGCGTGTGTGCGTGTGTGTGTGTGTGTGTGTGTCTGTGTGTGTGTATTCCAACCTCTTTAAATATGAATGTTTGGTGGAATTGTGTTGTAAATATTCAGAAATTAACACTCTTAATTAACTCTTGATTGAGTATTTACAGATGTGGTCAGTAACTTCTGAATGAAAGACTGAACCAGTAATTTCCAATCTCTCCATACAGTGATGACAAAAGTTCACCGTTCACTCACTCATTACACATGTACACAGATATCTGGAATCGAACCCAGGACCTTCTTTGCTGTATGCACCACAAAGGGAGCTTCACCCACACACACACTTTCCACTGTTAGCGTGGCCGAGTTATGGAGAGATGGTCTGCTTCAGCCGCATGCCTCTCTGACAGCTGGGTGTGGTGATAATTCAACACACTTTAGACCAGAGCTGTGTTTTGTAATATCCAACAAGACACTGGATTTCAAATTGTAATCTCACATTTACAGAAGAAAATGTGGTTTTGGTACGGTTTCAGAAGCTAATCCGTGGCTTTCACAATGATTTTTTACTAAAGAGTGAATCTGTGTGATAAGAGTTTAAGGGGAGCATGTTTTCCAGATATATAAACTGGGACACACCTGGATTTGAGGCATGGATCTATAATAATAACTGGATAGGGTATAACTAGCTTATAGCTGTCCCACCCATGGCCACAGGGGGCGCTGTGGTACTGCAGACTAAACTCACGTGGGCTACACAGAAAAAAGTCCCATAGAACTCAATGTAAATTAAAACAGCTCAACCTCAGCTGACAGAGAACCTGACAGAGAACCTGACAGAGAACCTACAGCTTTCATAAAGGTCGGATTTTGTGGGAATTTTTGTGTCCCTTCTCATCCTGAACTTTTTTTCTTCTTAAATCCTTCTGTTTTCTTTAAATCCACACTTTACTGCCACAAACTCTGCTCCTTTCCTTCCCGCTCTGACTCCGCTCTGCTGCTGCTCTGATTGGTCAGAGCGCGCCCGAGCCCCTCTGTGCACGTGCATGAGAACCACACATGTATTTGGTGCAAAGCATCATGGGAGCTCGTCCACTGCGCAGAACCGGGAGGACCAGACGATGCCCAAATACAGGCAAGTTCTGCTAATATGTCAGCGCCCGTGAAGTCCCGCATGCGCTACTGAGCACAAGGTAGGGCTTCATTTGGGCTGGTGCTAAGTGTCCTGGGTCTTGTACCAATAGAACATCTTGTCACATTTCTGAAAGAGCTGGAAATACAATCAATGACCTATAGTTGTCGTTTTTGAGACGCTAATATGTTTTTACAGCTTTTATATGAAATGTTTTGAGGGCTGTGTTGGCCAAGACACCCTTGGACAAAAGATCTCTGGATTTTCCAGGTGTAATATGAACGACGCCAACTTTATCATCACCAGCTAATTGAAAACATGCTCAGAAAACTTCTATCTGTAGAAAGTGGTGAATAAGAAGAAATGACAAATATAAATAAATCATAGTTAAAGTAGTTAAAGAATAGGTAGAACCAGTTTCTCTGACTCCCGACCTCCTGAGGCTGCCTGTGTGAAGCTACACTCTGCTAATGCCAATGTTTGTTTTACAGTTCACGACCATTGCCCCGGTGCTTTACTCACAGTGATAAGGCCACTTCCAGAAGACCTTGACTTGCAGCTGGTTGTCGTGGTAATGTGGAGAGGCCGCCTCCAGACGCAGGGCCTCGGCAGGCAAGGGGTCAAAGGGCACCGCGTGGGGAGCCGAGGGCAGCTCGTTAGACAGGTCCTCTGCTTTCATGCAGCCAGAGAGATAAAACGGGATTAGGAGGAGAGAAAGTGAAGTATTCGTTGAATAGCTTGACAGTTTTTAAAGAGGACGTAACCAGTAAGTTGACTTCCTCCTCTTTTGTTAGTTTTGTTTATTAATCTTTTACACACAGCTGTTTTTAGCACAATTCCTGCATCTTTGAGTTATTTCTATCCTAATACATGTGAGCTGCCATTGCACAGAGCCTCGAAGGTCATAGAGAATTATAGAGACCAGAACCGGGTTTCTTGTGCCCTTTATAGAAAAGAATATTCAGCAATGATGATGATCAATCCTCATACATGGGTTTTATTCAGAGTGAATTTGTCAAAAAATTCATAAGGAAGATAGGCCTTTACTTTTCTGTGGCTTATTTAGATAATTGTTTTTTTCTGTGCAATTCCTTCCTCTTGGTTCTTCTCCTTTTCCACATCTCCGCTCTTCTTTGTTGTGACGTAACGTATTCTCAGCCAGTGCAGTTATTTAATCCCAAACAATAGACTTTTTTGGCCCGAATGGCCCTCATTAGTTTGCAGAAATGAGGCCACAGAAGAAGCTTGCTGCATGGTTTCATATAAAAGTGTGAGTGTGGGGCTTGATAATGAAGCTGCAGCTGCCCGACGGGTCACCTATAAATACCAGTGCTGCCTGGACTCCCATTAACGCCAGCTCTTTCCACTGGATCCACTTAAAACACAGCAGCTGCACCTCTGTGTTGTGCTGACTGTCGGCAAACGTATCGCTTCTGCACTTACCGGGAAATTATGAACAATAACGGCATCTGGCTCACACGCATGCTTTGATCCGGTCGGGTTTGGCAACGTGTGTGAGGCCTCCCATGAGAAAAAATGACATGCAGTGAATTGTAACGTGGGAAATTACCTAATGATTTTATAATAAACATTGTTCCCACAAAAAAAAACTACCTGACTTGCTCTAATATCAGGAGCTTCTGCACAAACATATAACGCTGCCCCTTATGTCTCAAAGCTTCTGTCTCAGTCGTGTAATAGTATGACATCAAACTCGGAGGACTCACACACACCAACTGACCTCACACACGTCACACACACCAACTGACGTCACACACACTGACGTCACACACACCAACTGACCTCACACACACCAAATGACGTCACACACACCAACTGACGTCACACACACCAACTGACCTCACACACGTCACACACACCAACTGACGTCACACACACCAACTGACCTCACACACGTCACACACACCAACTGACGTCACACACACCAACTGACGTCACACACACCAACTGACGACACACACATCAACTGACGTCACGCACACCAACTGACGTCACACACACCAACTGACGTCACACACACCAACTGACGTCACACACGTCACACACACCAACTGACGTCACACACACCAACTGACGTCACACACACCAACTGACGACACACACATCAACTGACGTCACGCACACCAACTGACATCACACACACAAACTGACGTCACACACTCACCAACTGACGTCACACACACCAACTGACGTCACACACACCAACTGACGTCACACACACCAACTGACGACACACACATCAACTGACGTCACGCACACCAACTGACGTCACACACACCAACTGACGTCACACACACCAACTGACGTCACACACACCAACTGACGTCACACATACCAACTGACGTCACACACCAACTGACGTCACACACACCAACTGACGTCACACACACCAACTGACATCACACACCAACTGACGTCACACACACCAACTGACGTCACACACTCACCAACTGACGTCACACACTCACCAACTGACGTCACGCACACCAACTGACGTCACACACACCAACTGACGTCACGCACACCAACTGACGTCACACTCACCAACTGACGTCACGCACACCAACTGACGTCACACACACCAACTGACGTCACGCACACCAACTGACGTCACACACACCAACTGACGTCACGCACACCAACTGACGTCACGCACACCAACTGACGTCACACACACCAACTGACGACACACACACCAACTGACGTCACACACACCAACTGACGACACACACATCAACTGACGACACACACACCAACTGACGTCACACACACCAACTGACGACACACACACCAACTGACGTCACACACGCCAACTGACGTCACACACACCCACTGACGTCACACACACCAACTGACGTCACACACACCAACTGACCTCCCACACACCAAATGACGTCACACACACCAACCGACGTCACACACACCAACTGACATCACACACGCCAACTGACCTCACACACACCAAATGACGTCACACACACCAACTGACGTCACACACACCAACTGACATCACACACGCCAACTGACGTCACACACACACCAACTGACCTCAAAAACACCAACAGACGACACACACATCAACTGACGACACACACACCAACTGACGTCACACACACCAACTGACGACACACACATCAACTGACGTCACACACACCAACTGACGACACACACACCAACTGACGTCACACACACCAACTGACGACACACACATCAACTGACGTCACACACACCAACTGACGTCACACACACCAACTGATGACACACACACCAACTGACGTCACACACACACCAACTGACGTCACACACACCAACTGACGTCACGCACACCAACTGACGTCACGCACACCAACTGACGTCAAACACACCCACTGACGTCACACACACCAACTGACATCACACACACCAACTGATGTCACACACACCAACTGACGACACACACACCAACTGACGTCACACACACCAACTGACGTCACACACACCAACTGGCGACACACACACCAACTGACGTCACACACACCAACTGACGACACACACACCAACTGACCTCACACACGTCACACACACCAACTGACGTCACACACACCAACTGACCTCACACACACCAACTGACCTCACACACACCAAATGACGTCACACACACCAACTGACGTCACACACACCAACTGACCTCACACACGTCACACACACCAACTGACGTCACACACACCAACTGACGTCACACACACACCAACTGACGACACACACATCAACTGACGTCACGCACACCAACTGACGTCACACACACCAACTGACGTCACACACACCAACTGACGTCACACACGTCACACACACCAACTGACGTCACACACACCAACTGACGTCACACACACCAACTGACGACACACACATCAACTGACGTCACGCACACCAACTGACGTCACACACACAAACTGACGTCACACACTCACCAACTGACGTCACACACACCAACTGACGTCACACACACCAACTGACGTCACACACACCAACTGACGACACACACATCAACTGACGTCACGCACACCAACTGACGTCACACACACCAACTGACGTCACACACACCAACTGACGTCACACACACCAACTGACGTCACACATACCAACTGACGTCACACACCAACTGACGTCACACACACCAACTGACGTCACACACACCAACTGACATCACACACCAACTGACGTCACACACACCAACTGACGTCACACACTCACCAACTGACGTCACACACTCACCAACTGACGTCACGCACACCAACTGACGTCACACACACCAACTGACGTCACGCACACCAACTGACGTCACGCACACCAACTGACGTCACGCACACCAACTGACGTCAAACACACCCACTGACGTCACACACACCAACTGACGACACACACACCAACTGACGTCACACACACCAACTGACGACACACACACCAACTGACGTCACACACACCAACTGACGTCACACACACCAACTGACGACACACACACCAACTGACGTCACACACGCCAACTGACCTCACACACACCCACTGACGTCACACACACCAACTGACGTCACACACACCAACTGACCTCCCACACACCAAATGACGTCACACACACCAACCGACGTCACACACACCAACTGACATCACACACGCCAACTGACCTCACACACACCAAATGACGTCACACACACCAACTGACGTCACACACACCAACTGACATCACACACGCCAACTGACGTCACACACACACCAACTGACCTCAAAAACACCAACAGATGACACACACATCAACTGACGACACACACACCAACTGACGTCACACACACCAACTGACGACACACACATCAACTGACGTCACACACACCAACTGACGACACACACACCAACTGACGTCACACACACCAACTGACGACACACACATCAACTGACGTCACACACACCAACTGACGTCACACACACCAACTGATGACACACACACCAACTGACGTCACACACACACCAACTGACGTCACACACACCAACTGACGTCACGCACACCAACTGACGTCACGCACACCAACTGACGTCAAACACACCCACTGACGTCACACACACCAACTGACATCACACACACCAACTGACGTCACACACACCAACTGACGACACACACACCAACTGACGTCACACACACCAACTGACGTCACACACACCAACTGGCGACACACACACCAACTGACGTCACACACACCAACTGACGACACACACACCAACTGACGACACACACACCAACTGACGTCACACACACCAACTGACGACACACACACCAACTGACGTCACACACGCCAACTGACGTCACACACACCAACTGACGTCACACACACCAACTGACGTCACACACACCAACTGACCTCCCACACACACCAAATGACGTCACACACACCAACCGACGTCACACACACCAACTGACATCACACACGCCAACTGACCTCACACACACCAAATGACGTCCCACACACCAACTGACGTCACACACACCAACTGACATCACACACGCCAACTGACGTCACACACACACCAACTGACCTCAAAAACACCAACAGACGACACACACATCAACTGACGACACACACACCAACTGACGTCACACACACCAACTGACGACACACACATCAACTGACGTCA